CCCCCCCCCCCCCTCTCTCAAAACCCGTGAAAAAAAATTTCGCACTTTCATATTTTCTCTGCGGATTCGGGGAGATCTCGACAAGCGCAGTCCAACCCCATCAAAAAAATAAAAAATAAAAAAAATTCGACCCGGTTTTGGGCCCAACCAGAATTCTGGTCCGGTCCGGTCCGGTCCAACCGGCCGGTGGCCGGTGCAGCCTTGCTTGAAAGCGCTCACGAGCTCTTTTTGATACAACCAACCTCATCATCCGTCATTACGGTCATCTGCATGCATGAAGTAGATAAGAAAATGATGGATGGGTGGCGATCGATTCGCTGTGGAGGCTTGGAGGTCCGGATTTACCCCTGGGTCCCCCCAAAACAACAACCACCGGAGGAGAGGGGGGAGCAACTGATGAGAGAATAATTCTGGGTGGAGTTTAGGCACATCACGGTTGAGATCCAAGCCGCGTTTGTACAATATTTTGCAGAAAAAATTGATGTTGTCGACTTCATCAACCCGCTCCCACCACGGGTCCCACGCTAGCCATAAGACTTGCTGAGGGCCAGATCTTCACCATTGATGATATAATCCCCTACTGTGGGGGGGGGGAAATGTATCGCATCCATACTGCCCATAAGCTAAGGCCCTAGTGCTTTAAGTGCCAGGCTTATGGGCACTTTAACACAGACACGGTGTGTGGCCGTCACCCCTCTCGAGCAGCCAAACCCACAGGGCGCTTGCAGAAAGATCCCTTCGTGGACACTCGGTGGTGGACAGTTGACCCCGACCATGAAGGATGGGTTTTTATCGACGGACCTGCACAAGGGGGAGGGTTGGTGGGCTGGACATGGGATGGCCAGGGCGAACCACAACAGGACACTAGACCACCGGAAGCCTGGACCTCGCCCAAAACCTTGGAATCCCATTTGCAACAGTCCCCCGGTGGGATCCCTGCGATGACAGAAAAAGGGGAAGCGTGGGAAAAGGTCAAGGGGAAGAAACAAGGGGAAAACAAATCAAGTGAGGAACAGAGAAGAGTAAAAGAATTAGAGGCCAACAGGTTTGCTCCACTGTTGAATGAGCCCGATCATTCTGGTCAGCCACACGAGGAGGGGGAAAGAGAGGGGAGGGGGGTGGAGCAGGAGAAGGGTCAGAAGAGCCAGAAGAGTCAGGAGATTGTGATGACGGAGAGCCAGGGGGAACACGACGAGGGGGGAGGAAACGGGAGGGAGGGGCAGACGGGTCAGGGGACTGCGACGACGGGAACCCAGGGGGAACATCGGGACCCCTCTGGTGAGAAGGATGGGGGTGGGGGGGACCTGTCGGCGACCCCAAAGACGGAAAACAGGTCGCTGCAGCATGCACACCACCTGCTGCCTCCTCAGGCAGGCCAGACAGAGCAGGCACAGCTGGAGCTACGCCACAGGGCGGGGCCGGACCGACGGGACCAAAGTGCTAATGGGGAGGAACAGATAGTGTAACAGACACAGGATACACAACAGACACAACAACAGACACAACGAACACAACAGACACAACAAACACAACAGACACAACAGACACAACAAGCACACCAGGCATAGAGAGTGGTGGAGCAGCGGCAAGAGCAGCATACACGGCTGAAACAGCAGGCGAGAGCGAAGCAGCCACTACAACCACAACAACCACAGGACGTAGACAGCCCATCAACACAGCCAGTACAGCCAGCACAACCACAACAACGGGTAGGGCAGCACGATGCACAAAAGTCGCAGGCGGAACACACGCCAGGGGCCGGATTTTTTCTCCGATGCCTTCGGGGTCCGGTCAATGGACATTGACACGTCCCCCCCTCCTCCAGAAGTTGAAATGGTGGACAGCCAAACGGACCCGGACGCCCCCCCCCAGGAAATGGACTTGGATAAGAAGATCCAGATAATCACAGAATGGATCATCAAACACCTTCGGGCCGAGACCGCTAAGGGAGGCACAATGGGAGGGGACGAATATTGGGATGTGTCCTACGTGGAATTGGTCACACTTCTGAATAACAGCCCGACGCTCAGAGCTGCGCTGACCAACGGCCCGCCGGCCCACTTGACATGGGCGGAGAGCTTTCAGAGAATTCTGGCCATTGCCCGCAGTCGGTTTCGTCCGCCGCCCGCACTGGATCAACAGCACCCTCAACCGCCCCCTGCCCCCACAGATGGTATGCAGGTTGCCTCACAAGGGGAACACAGAGAGGAAGGGATGACATCCAAACGCCGCAAGCTGCGACAACTCGTGGAGCGGGGCCTCTTTGAGCTGCGCCTTACCATTACAGATAGCGTAGTAGCAATCCCTTTGAGGAAAACGGATGGCAAATGGGAGATTGGGCTTTCCCCGTTGGGGGAGCATGGCGGGGCAACACTGCAAGGATGGGACTTCCCGGCCCAGATCACGGACTCAAGGGAAAGGGACAAAGCCTTCACTAGCCAATGACATGTACTTGCTGTTTGAACCGAACAAAACTGCTGGTTTGCGCTGGTTTAGCCACAATGCGCCGCTTGATTTACAGTGCGCAAAGGTTAAACCTAGCGACTAGTGGTCTGAGGACGATGTGTGCAGATGTTTGTGCAGGATCCTGCGAAAGAAAGCCCTGCTGATAGACACATGGGACATCAAGCAATGACACCCCTTGTGAGTGATACCCCTCAGACAACACACATGACCGACTTGGAAACACTATACTGTAGGAACTTGGCTTGGAAACAATGTGTCAGAACGACCGACTTAGACCTCTGTTCTATTAATGTGAACGGCCTGGCAACCAACAACCCAGAAAAATGTCAGGCCATTCGGGACCAACTTAGGGGGGTAGGAGGGAGAAGTTGGCCAGATGTGATATGCGTGCAGGAAACTCACTTGCAGGATAACCAGAACACGACAGAGCTCACAAGATGGTCTGGCCTCATTCGGCGGTAAAGGCCCACGCCCCCAAGCCTGGATCAGCGGGGGCAGCAATTTTGATACCCCCAGACTCCAGGTTCGAGATGGTTCATTGGGCGATAGACGAGGAGGAGGGACGGTGGGTATCAGTGTTGGGGATGCTCGAACTTGAACTGCTATGTATCTTGTGCATGTACTCCCCTAATACCGTCAATGAAAGAAGAACCTTTTTGGATAACTTAGGGGCACGTGTACCGGAGGGCATCCCGCTGATCATTGCAGGGGACTTCAATGCCGCCCCTGAAAGAAGGTGTGACAGATGGAACCCTCAGGGATCCCTTGCCTTTGCGGCAGAAGAAGATGAGCAAATGATTACCGACCTATGCAAAAACCTCGCGGTCTTTGACACCTTCCGCCGCCTGCATCCCACGGACCGAACCTTTTCCTGTGTTAGGGACAGCCGGCTAGGTTGTCCAAGTCACGGATTGATCTCATTCTGGTCTCCAATGACCTGGAAGGTGCCCTCCGTTGGGCTATCATTCTCCCACGAAGCCCGCATCCTGGACTGGACCATAAAACATGCGGAATAATACTCACCATGAGGAAAAGACCGGATCAAGGTCCGGGGTTTTTTTAGCTCAATACCTCAATCCTCAAAGACCAACAATTTAAACCAATGATTCAGCATGAATGGCAGTTTTGGCGTCAACATAAAGCCCACTTTGATTCGTTCTCCACGTGGTTCAATAATGACCTCATATTTTTGGCTAGAAAATGCAAAAAATTTTCGAAAGCTAAAGCGGCTCTTAGACAGCAACAGGAATTTGCCACCCATGAGGAACTGTTGAGCCTGGAACACCAGGAAGATTCACACCTTCTCAGCGCACACATCCAGGAAGTGAAGGCCAAACTTCTTCAATATGCACAACACAGATGGGAGGGCATCAGGATACGAGGGAAAATGGCTAAATTTTCTCAGGAGGCCACAATGGACACTCATTTCTTTAGCATGGCGACAGCCCGGGCGAGACGCACGGTAATTGAGGCATTATATGACCAGGATAGCGTGGACGTATAGCAACAAATACTGCGCACTGCACTCTAATCACATGAAGATTCTTTAAACAACTATGGGGGGCATGGACGAGAGAGCGGGAGGAATTCTTGACCCCTATGGATAAGCACCTTTCCCAGACACAGTGCGATCAACTGGAGCGCCCCCTGACAAAGGATGAGATATGGGCATCATTGCTTGGGATGAGGGAAGATAAAACACCTGGCATTGACGACTTTCCCAAAGAATTTTGGGAAACAATGTGGCCAGAATTGAGTACAGATCTGTGGAATTTCTATCAAAAGATCTGGGAGGATGGGAAAATGGGGGAAGTGGTGGGGAAAGGGGTGTTGACTCTGCTGTATAAGAAAGGGGATAAAATGAACATAAGGAACTACAGACCAATTACTCTCCTTACAGTAGTC